ACGTCTGCAGGTGCTTGCTATTTCATTTGGCCCCTGCACTAAAACAGGCTTTTCCAAGCAGCTGAGGGTCAGCTCCTTATTCGCACACAGCAAGATACTTAGCAGTTGTGGATCTAAGTCTTCAAATCCTTGAAACAAACCTTACGTGAGACTTTTACTGCTGAATTCGTGTTTATCCCAGTGCTGTGCCAACACGCTGAGAGCAGGCCAGCCTTGCTCCCTGCTCCAACAGAAGTTCTGCTGCCATTTCAGGAGTGAAAAGCATCATCAGAACACAGTATTTAAATGGCTTCTCACACCAAAACCAATGCTGTAAAACTGTCACAGGTGGTTGTGTGTTTAGCTCTCTAACACTCAAACCTCCACAGCCTCTGAAGAAAAAGGGTTCCTTCCAGATGGCACCTCTGCATGCTGCTCCAGCAGTTTTCAACACATCCATCACCACAGCGCAAAACCCCACGGGCAGGATGCCACTGCTGTGCTTCTTCTCCAGGAAGCACTGAAGAGAAAAACTTACCCCATGGGTACAGGTGTCCAGCTAACTGCCTGTAGGGCTGTTTTCAGGGATGATAGTAAGAAAAGCCCTCTTTTACTTCTGAGTGGAGCAATTCCAGAGCGAGCTCAAGGGCATGATCACCAGCCTGCTCCTTTATCTTCCTTCCCACGGTTGAATGAAGATCTTGTGCAACTCTACAGCATTTATTATACTAAAATACTATATATTTCTACCTGCCCCATAGGTAGAATTTGAGCATGCACAATCAGAGGGCAGAAGCTCAGCTAAGTGTATCTCCAAGCAGCTCCTGCTAAGAATTTGGATGTATAATACAGAATTAAGATGAAAAATAACGCAAAGGAAAAAATTCACAGATGTTGGAGAGAATTTAGCCACCACCTTCCCTACAAATTCAGAAGAGCTCCCAGATAGACATATAATGCTTAGCCTTATTTCATATGTTCCATTTTAAACAAAAGCATTTATCTTAGAAAATGACTCCAGTTTTAAGATGCCTTATTACCCTACAACCATCCCTGCCAGAGAGGTGCTGAGGTTATTCTCAGCAGAACTGAAGCTACTGGTGACTTCCCTGAGTTCTACCTGGCTTTGGCTGCATAGCTGGTGCAGTTTCACCCACGAAATTTTCACCTGGTGTTGCTATCCTGCAATTCCTCCCACAGCCTTTCACAACAGTCAGGTGTCAAGTGCTCAAGTGAAACTGGCAGGACTATGAGTTGCTTGAAGTGCTCCATGATTGGAGGAGCCTAGAAAGGCTGCAAACTCAACAACTGCACGTGGGGCTGCACAGCTCACTGCATCTCTGCTTCAGCTGTCACTGGGCAGGGGTGCACACCAGCATCTGCCCTGTGCTGAGTGGCTGCAGGACTTGGAGCCTCTCCCTGTGAGCTGAAGGTTCCCAGTCCATGCAGGGCAGAGTGGAGATCGGGAGGGAATTCCCTCCCAAGCCATGTGGCAGAAGACCATGTAGTAGAAGACTATGTAGTATAAGACAGGAAGAGCTGCTTGGAAACAAGGAAAGCTTCTCCTCGTCCATCCAGCAGAAGCGAAGCCTAAACGCATCAACCTATGCTTGATACTTTAAGCTTAGCACATACTTTGTTCATGTTACCATCTCACAAGAGAGACTGCTGACAAAAACTTATTTTGCTCTGCCTGGCTTGTGAGGTTGTTTTGAGGAGATCTTGCTACCCAAGCTCAGCACCATCACCTGACAGCTGCAGGTAAACTTTCAGTGACAGACTGACAGAGCTGGGGCTGTGCTGCCTGGAGAAGAGAAGGCTGTGAGGTGACCTGATAGTGACCTGTCAGAACCTAAAGGGGAGCTACAGGAAAGAAGGGGACAGCCTCTCTAGCAGGATCTGTGGTGACAGAATAAGGGGAAATGGCTTCAAGCTCAAAGAAGGTAGGTTTAGGTTGGACATAAGGTAAAAGTTTTACAGTGAGGGCAGTGAGGCAGTGGCACAGGCTGCCCAGAGATGTGGTGGATGCCTCATCCCTGGAGACTTTCAAGATGAGGCTGGATCAGGCCCTGGGCAACCTGATCTAGTGGGACACCAATAGACTAGATGGCCTTTAAATGTCCCTTCTGACTCTAATGATTCTATGACTCTAAATCAAGGGGGAAATATACCTTACCTTTAAATGCCTCTGTAGCCCCTGGTGCGTGGTTCTTATCTGGGTGAAATTTCAGTGCGAGTTTCCTGTAAGCCTTTTTCAAGTCCTCATCGGAGGCTTCTCTATTGACTCCCAGAATTTCATAGTAATCCTTGCATTGCTTTACCCTACCAGAAGAGAAAACAGGGGCAGTGAATTCCAGCTACAAAAACTGCTTTGCCACAAACATGTCAACTCTGCAGTGTCTCACGTATCACAATTTCAATTGATGTTGTTCAGCAAACTCCAGTTTACCAGTTCTAATTCCTCAGAGGGTGACCTAATTTTTTTTGCATGCTCATCCACGGAAGACCTGCTTTACGAGCACACAAACACTCCCACAGAACAAGCCATACCTGTAAAGGTAGGAGGGCCTCTCCTCAGACTATGATATCACCTGAACAAGCATGCGATTCACAAACAAGCTTCAGATTCGTCACACTCACGCTTTGGAGGCTGTTCAGGAGGCGTGGGGATTACAAATAGCAAGCTGGGGGACATCTGGGGGACAGCTGGGCTTTCAGCTTGGTTTTAATAATCCCCCTCAGGCCCCGCTGGTTCAGACTTAACAGGAGAAGGAACAGGAGGAGCTGCCCAGGCCTGTGTGCAGCCCAGCTCCTGCTGCGTACTCCTCACAACTCCATCACAGTTTCTCTTTCTCACATGACTTATACAAGACAGAATAAAGTGAGCTGGCTTTCAGGAGAATCAGGTGACGTAGCAAACACACCCGGAAATCAATTAGCCAGAGCAGCTCTTGCACAACCCAGAGCATACCCAAAGGCTTACGCAAAGTTTACCAAGTGACTGCGCACACGGTTCAGTCCTTCAACTTCCAGCACTTACAAGTGGTACAAAGGAATAATGAACAGCTGAAACAGCATTTGAAAAAGGGGTGACTGGATAAACGTGCCCTGGGACTATCCAGTAAGAGCATTAGAAATATATCATCCAAACAGAGCGAAGTGCCCTGCTGTAGATTTCTACTTTGTTGGGCTCTTAGAGGGACCATCTTAGAAGGACACCCACATCCCCTGGCACTTGCTACAGGGCAAAGCTCAGAACACAAGGGCCTCCTGCTGCAAGCTGTGAGCCATGGCTTCCCCCAGCACACCTCAGCACCATATGGGATTTTACACAGAACCACTGAACAGCACCTTCACATGAAGTCCATAGAATGAATGTACTCAAAATGCCCTTTGCACCTCATCAGGAAAACGCCTGCCTGCAGCTCTAGCCTTTGAAGGGAAAGTCACATGCTTGGCAGCTGCCCTGCAGGGCCACCAAGGTCCCCTTTTAACGCCTCACTGAAAAAAGACCACTCCACATGATTTAAAGCTGACCAAATCTCTCACGTAGCACTGAATATGAATAGTTGTCCAACTCCAACCTGTTCTGTGCACCCTTCACGCTCCGCCCCTACATCTTAAAAATGTGGTGAGAAGCAGACAGATATCACGTAATAAACATGGGTGTAAGCCTGGGGAGCAGCACACGCACCTCTTCACGGCATCCACCTGGTCCTGCGTGTAGCCCTTGGGGGCCTCCCCGCCGGCCTCCCCATTGGCTGAAGGGAAGTCCCCGCCCGCCTTCCTGAACTGGGCGTTTGGGGACTCCCGGGCCTGGGACTGCCCGTTGGACGACGGCTCGCTCTTGTTGAGCGACTCGAGGAGAACTGAAAGGAGAAAAGGGAAGAGCAAAACGAGGTCAGAGAACACTGAGCCCAGTCTGCCCTTCCCGTTTCCCTAAAGCCATCCCTTCTTCACCCAGCTCTCAGCCCCCCCCGAAAGGTCTGGGAGCACGGCGGATCTCTGCAGCAACGTACCCTCCTCCTCCTCTCGCTTTTTCCCATCGGATCGCGGAACACCCCGAGTTGGAAGGGACCCGTAAAGACCACGGATTCCAACCCGCAGCTCCGCACAGGAGCGCACAGAGCTCAGACCCTACATCCGACCGCGTCGTCCAGCCGCTCCTTGAACTCCAGCAGTTCCGTGCCGCGCCCGCCGCCCTCTGGCGGAGCACCCTCCCCCGACACCCGAGCCGAGATCTCTCGGTACCGGCGGAAGGCTTCCGGGCTCGCTCTCCTTTCCCGAGGCGGGATCAGACAGCCGAGGGCTCGGCCTCCCCCCGCAACGCCCGGACGCGGCCCGGTGCAGCGAGCCGGCCGCCTCCGCGCCGCGACCCACCGCGCGGCGCACGCGTCCCCGCCAGGCGGCCACCCGCGCCTTCCCAACGTACGTGTAGCTATTCACCGGCCGCTCGGCAGGCCGGTCCCCCCGCACCCGCGCCCTCCGACCCCAGGTGCCGCACTGCCATTAGGGAGGCTGCCGCCCTTCCCCCCGTCCCGAGGCCCGCCGTTCCTCCCCGGAGGACTCGCCGCCCCGGCACGCCCCGCGCGCCGCCCCGCAGGGCGCAGGCGCGGCTCCCGAAGCTGCGGTGGCAGCGCTCGGGCCGCGCCGCCCGCCCCGGCCCCCCCCCCCCCTCGCCCCGCCCCGCGCCCGCCGCCGCTCACCGCGGACCCGCGGCGAGGGGTAGAGGCGCTGCGCCTTCTCCAGGAAGCGGCGGGCCCGCTCGGGCTGGTTGGCCTTGACGGCGGCCAGCGCGATGCCGATGCACCGCTCCGCCTCGTCCCTGTTCGACTCCATGGCGGCGGCGGCCGGCCGGGGCGGGGGCGGTGCTGCGCGCGGGGTGATGACGTCACGGCCCCGCCCCCCGGGGCCCCGCCCCCCGCCGTATTGCCGCGAGGGCGGGCGCGCGCCGCCTCGGAGCGTCCCCGGCGTGGTCGGCGCCCTCCCGGCCCAGCGGAGCGGCGTCAACACACGAGATAGAAGCCGTGCGGATTGTAATGGCAACTACAAGTGAGCGGGTACAGCGCGTCAGCCCCGCCCTGCCGGTGAGGGCAGCGCGAAACGTCCCCTTTCCTACAAGAGAAAAAGGCGGAGGTGCACGAGGCAGGCGGCAGCAGGTCCCAGCTCTGCGGAGCGGTTCGTCCCTCCCGCGCAGGCAGCCCCGTTAGGGCCGGGGCAGGGTGAAGTCCCAGGCCGTCTCCTGGGTGCACTTCCACATAGCGCGCATCAGGCGCGTGAAACCCATGTCCTTGGGCTTCTCCAGGCCCCGCATCAGCCGCTGCTTCATGATGGCCACAAACTCCTTGTTGCTCAGCTCGCCGTTCCCTGCAAGGAGAGGAAGGCATGAGGAACACACGGAGCCACCACCAGCACCCAGGGCCCAAGGGAAGGTGCATTCAACGAGCCGCTTTCTTCAGCTCCAAGTGCTTTTTGCTGCATCGCATCTAGACACAAATCTGGGCAAGGGAAGTCTTGTCAAAGTATGGAGGAGTGAGCGGCAGCCTCCCTGGTGCCTGCAGTAATGCCTACAAACACCAAAGCAGTTGTAAACCACAAAGAGTTCAGTGCTCATTTCCATTCGATGCCTCCCTCACACAGAGTGAGTGGCCACCAACAGTTCCTTCCCCCCAGAGCTTTGCTATCTGACTATTTAGCAGATCCTCCTACAAGAGAAAGCCAATGGAGAACATTCGGGTACCCTTTGGTTCACTGCAGTCTGAGCATCTGCTTTGAGGATGTGATTGGGAAATGACACTGAAGGACAGAAGAAAATAAAACAGATGCAGCACTCCAGCAGGTGGAGCTGAAACCCAGAGGAACTGCAGCCAAGAGGCGGAGCAAGGGATGGCACTTTTTTGTGTCCTTATTTAAATCAGGGAACAGCGGCCTGGCCGTACTTAGCTGCCACTGCATCGGAGCAGGAGGGCCGCAGCACCAGGGCACCAGCAGGGGCTCTGGTTTGAATGCTGTAATTTTGCAGAATTTTGCTTCTCCCAACCTAAAAGCATATTCCTCTTGCCTTCATCAACACATTTCAAAGGCTGCTCTGAAGCTTTCTATGCCCATCCGTGGATGTAAAATGCCAAATGCCACTGAAGCAATGGCAACCAAACCATGGCCTGCGAGCAATGTTTTTTTGGGAAGATCCTCCCAGATTGTCTTGTGTTTCTCTGCAGTGGTGTTTGTAGCCCCACTGCACAACAAGCACTTATCACCCAAGGGCCTCAAAGAGTACGTCCAGTGCAGGAGGTACTGTCTGAAGTATCTCTATCTCAGCGCAAGATCAACAATTCCACTGATTCCCATTACCTCAGCCCAAGATGGTTGCAGGTATTTGCTACCCCAAAGCGTTTGCAGCCTGCATGCGGGTGCAGCACCAAGCTTACAGCAAGGCACAGAGCTGCCATTAATTAATTGGGCTGGCATTTATAGAGGACTTTAGAGCTACAGAGTACCAGATTGGCTGATTTCCAGCACTACAACACAAACACTCATTTTCTTGAACACATCAGTCTACTGAGAAAGAGATAAGCTGCTTCCCACTGCAGCCAGTTTGCATCCAACACTTCTTCCACATGTGATGCTTTAAGATCAATGCGCTAGGAGCTGTGCACAATTGGACACCCTTCCCAGAAAGGCAGCTACAGACCTATGGCCACACGACAAAGCTTAGCACAAAATGGACATCTGCTAGCACAGAAAGACTCTGAGCAAAACACTGGGCAGTTCACATGGTAGGAGCCTTCTCCCTGCACTTCTAGCCCTGGCTCAGCTCTCACTCATGCTGGCTGCAGCCAGCATTGGTCACAGGACACTCAGTCACTCACCATCGCAGTCGAAGAGCGCAAACACCACATCACACACATGGTCTGACAGCTCCACCTTCGCCACTGTCCTGGCCACCTGCTGCATCGTCACTGCATGAGAGGAAGGCACACAGTTAGTGGGACACAAGCACCCACAGCTGCCACCAAGACAGGCAGAAAAGTCTCCCTTTTCCATTTTAGCAGCCACAGATTCAGTGCAGGATTATGCAGTTGATTTTGCTGCGCCTCACAGGTCTGGTTTAGCTGTTCCCCACATACATTAGCGCCAATCTGACTGCTTTCTGCTGTCACTTTGAACCTGCTCAGCACCATTTGTTGAGGCTGAATCACTCCACTCCAGTCTCTTGATGTAATGGAAGAGCTCTGCACAGACGTGTTTGCATTTACCCTTCACTCAGTTGAACCCAAGGTGAATGACTGAAGGTTCCCATCAGAAGCGATTTCATTTTGCAGTGCATCACCATGACATGCATTCAAATGGTGCCTTGGGAGGAAACCTTCCAGCAAGGTTGAGAGCTACCCTGTGCTGCGTGCCCCAAAATTCAGCTTTATCCCTATATTTAATTTTAAAGAGCTGCTTTCCAACCAGTTGCACAACAGCTCTGTGGCACTCCACCAAAGCAAACTGGCTCTTGAAGCTAAAGCAGAGCAGTGAGCAGTGTTCACAGGGAATCCTGTCCACTGTTATCAGAATAAAGCTGTTTCCAAGTCACTGCTGAAGAAAACCCAAATTAGTTTCAGCCCCCAAGATGAGATGTCGTCTCATGAACAAACCCAGGTGATGGCATTCCTCAGCCCCACAAAGAAGTGCGTTAATGGTCCAGGATTTAATCAGCTCGCACTGACATCAAATGCTCACAAACTGTAATTAAATTCCCAAGCTGACTTCAGCTTTCCCCGACTTCAGGAAAGGAATAAAACCATAAATCTTTCAACAAGGGCTGGTGCATGCCAGGTCAGAGGCACAGGAGGACATGGTATAATTAGATTATGTCACGCTGTCCTCAGGCTGATGCCAGCCACATCTTCAGACCCTCACAAAATGTCTTCAGTGCAGAACTGCTGCTCTTTGCTGACCTGCCCCTCCCCCCCTCCCCCGCTGTCCTGCCCCAGCAGCTGAGGGCAAAGTCACAGCAAGCTGCCCGTCTGCTTTGCTGAACTTCAGGAATAACTCAGTTGCAGCACTGGGAGCTGCAGCAGAAGAGCATGGCAACAAGGGGAGAGCTCCTTATTAGCTTCCTGTAAAGAGGCTGTGGCCAGTGGGACAAATCAGCATCATCTCAGGTACCCCCACCTGCCCATGTCCCTCAGTGCCACATCTCCACAGCTCTGGAACACCTTCAGGGATACAAGATGCCCACCCCACCTCTGTAGGCAGCCTGTACTCTGACAGTACCATACTTTCAGAGAAGAAATGTTTTGTAATATCCAACCTGAGAAAGCAAGAAAGCCCCAAAAGAGAACTGCCCTTAGAGCAAAACCCTCTCTCCAGTTACAGCACAGCACTGTTCTCACACAGCTTTGTTTTTCTAATAGCATCACACATATGAAACAGAAGAGTTTGCACAGGTACAATATAAGTCTCTGTCAGTGGTACAGAGGTCAGCTCTCATCTTCATGTGCTTCCTCTGCAAGCACAGGAGCTGGAGCCCCCGCGATCTGCAGCACACCTGGAACAAACAGTTGTCAGGGAAGCCTCCTCACCCTTAGCATCCTGATAAATGGAGGACCTGAGGCTTTCAGAGACCTTCACTGGGACCACAGGATTGGGTTAAGTGTTCAAGCTGTCCCCATGATTGAGCATGTTCATAAATGTGAAAAGCTCAAGGAAAAAGAAGCAATACTGGTTAAAAAAAAACACCACCAAAAAAGCTTACCCACACTTATCTCTCAGCTTAATTTTCCCTACTTATTAGCACATGCTGCAGAGGTGCTTCCCTAGGCTTAGGGAAGGAGAGAGGCTTTAAGTGCTGTAAGCCACTGCATATCCAAGATCAATCATCTCCAACAGCAGCAGAGAATCATAGAATTGCTCAGGTTGGAAGACCTTAGAGATCATCAAGTCCAACTGCCAACCAAACCATACTACCCAAACTCTAACAACCCACCAATAAATCACATCCCAGAGCACCACGTACAAACAGATTTTAAACACATTCAGGAATGGTGACTCAGCCACCTCCCTGAGGAGCCTATTCCAGTCTGTATTTCCTCAAACAGCAATGCTGAATGCCATAATAGAATCATAGAATGGTTTGGGTTGGAAGGCACCTTTAAGATCATTTAGTTCCAGCCCCCATACCAGAGGCAGGGACACCTCCCCCTAGGCCAGCTTGCTCAAAGCCCAGCATCCTTCAGCTCCTTTCAAACACAATCCTGAGAGGTGCCAGCTCAAGCTCTGACCCCACATTCCATTCAGGTGCCCCAGAGCACAAGGTGTGTCAGTAAGGTAAATAGAAGTAACATCAATCTATGTATGTCATTTCTTTGCTGTTTTAGAAAGTGAAACAGGTGCTGTCTGGGGAAAACATCAAGCAGCCTTTTCCCAATTTGGATTTTGTGATAGCTGCATCAATCTCTACTCAGGAATGTCTCCAGAATTTTATGTTATCAAATATTAGTTCTACTTTTATATCTTGAAAGCTATTTTTCTTTTAAGATTTCAAGTGTTGCAGCTTTACGCCAGTTCCTTTAACAAGCCATTGGAGCATTTCATGAGGGTTAGCTCATGACAGTTCTCTCTTCTATCCAGCTCCCCAGGATCACACCGAGCAATGCCCCACGATGTGCTCAAGACACAGGGTTGTGTGTGGCAGGACTGTGCCAGAGCCCAGGCAGATGGCAAATGCCATTTTTCTGTCTTGAGATTAATTATTTGGGCAAAGTAACAACAGACAGATGTCCTATCTCACTGGAGGGGAAGGCTCTATTTCCTCCTATTGCTAAAGGATACAACTTCCTCTCGCCTCTAATGCAAGTTGCTCAAAGGCATTTTGCCCTGCCCTAAGACGCAGGGCAGCCATACCACAGCACTGCCACTGCCAGCAGGATTGCTGCTCAGAAAGTCTGGCTGTGGATGGTGCCAACGAAGCACAACTCACACCCTTGCCTCAAAAGGGGACTCAGCAATGAATTCTGTGCCAGCCTGCTGCCAGCTGCATGCCTCAGCAAACTGCCTGGGGCTGTCTGCTCAATGATGTATGTTTGTGATTTAAGAGAATGATGGTTGTGTGTTTCCAGAGGAACCAGAGGACAAATGAGGAATCTCCATGTTAGTCTGCGGGTCAGTTTTATCATCCTCTTTAGAAGAGGCTTCCTTAATTCAACACCAAAAAGGAGTCGCCCAGCTATGGCTGTTTGGTGTCAACCATTTTTCCTGTTTCATATTAAGCAGTGCTTCCAGAAACTAACAGCCAGTCTCCTGCATGAGGTTAGCAGCAAGGACACAAACTGTCCTTTTGGTCCTCCCAATAGGAAGAACAGCTTTTTTTTTTTTTTTTTTAAATATTTGTTGCTTTTTAATAAGCAACCCTACAAGAACTCGGCTTTTGGAAGAGGTGCAGCCTACTTATTGCTCATTTGATGCATGGGTGTAACAGACAGATAAGGTGAGAATGAGCATGCATAAGGGAAATGTGTTGCATTTAGTTGTGCAAGCACACAGATTCTTGCTGCAAAACCCAGGCATGGTGCTGCAGGTTGATTTGCACCTTCATTAAAGCTGCAGTAAAACCCTCCTCGTGCATCCTGCCACAACTTGCAGGAGCACCTCTGGGCTGGGCAGCGCAGATGGAGGAGAGGGGTAACTCACGGCAGGTGCCAGACACGGACTAAGCTGGGAATTGCAGCACAGCTCTCCTGCCAAGGCAGGAATGGCTTGAACTTGTGAATGGCAAAGGAGTGGTGGCTGACACTTCTGGAGCCCCCACACCTTGAGGCTTTTTCCACTCCTCCCCGGTTTGCACAGTGTCAGTGTCAACCAGACCACTCCCTGTGGCTTTCCAGCCCTGCAGACTCCTGGCAACAGACCTGGAAGACTCCTGGCAGAACACAGCAGCTTTAAGGCTCCCACGGCTGCTTCCTTCAGCCAAAAGACTCCTCGATCAATGGCTGTAGCTCCAGCACAGGCTCATTAATTGTATGTAATTAAACAGTAATCACACTGATTTACCAACTGCACGTGGACTTAAGTGCTCCACAAATACATATTTTGTGACTGGGCAATTGCTAATTTACTGTAGATGCTGAGAAAATTGGATTTGCTAGGCTATTATCACCACACTGCAGATAGGGCTCTGCACAGTAGCAGCACATCCATATTTCATATAAAGGTACTTCTTGCTCATTTTTACTTTCAAATTAGAGGGGGGAAAAAACCCAATAACTATACAGTTCTTTTAACTTTAAGTCTTAAGATGCAGTGATCTAAAGGAAAGAGTATAGATGATTCCCCCAAAATTCTGAGATGAGAGCTGTTGTTGCATGCAGGAAGAGATGCAACTCCTATGGCAATTCCACTGCCTAAGAACCTATTCATACCCTAACATTTCCACAACAACTGGATAAATTGCTTCTGAAACATCTGATTTTGCAGCTGCTTTAACTTGTTAAAAGACAGGAGCTTCCACAAAACTTTAACTCTGGACACAGACTTCAGTGCTCAGCCCAGGAACTCACTGGAGCACCGAGTTCAGGTGCCTGGATTTTAGACCAGAAATGCAGCATGTGGCTCTTCTTTCTAAGCAAAGCCTCTTAATTTCAAGCAAAGAAGAACCAGGGGTTGTACAGTGTGTACTACCAGCTCCACTGCTGGTAAGTGCCCAGAGACCTCTGCAGGAGAGAACCTGCAAGAAAGCTTCTTAAAATACCATTTGTCATTTCCAACACTTTTTTCAAGTGTTTGTAAAAGGTTGGAAAGATGTCCCTCCCAAGACTGGTCTGGGGAAGAAACCTTGAGGTGCTTGAGCTGGTGATACATTCAGGAGTTTGCTTTGCCTCTGTATACATCTGACCTGCACAGTTCTTCCGAAGAGCTTTATCACAGCTTACTGATCTATTCAGGCTATACATTTCAGCATTTTTTTCCACTCTGTATCTAAAATGGAAGAAGTATAAAACCCCAAATCCCTGTTTATCCACGCACTGCAGTAAGTTAAAGCTCTCATCACAGGGAAGAGCTGCTGTTTTGTGACACATTTAATCCATCAGACAGGGCTTGCTGGCTAGCTCTAAGCCCAACCACATAGTGCAACCGCTCTGCCTCATGCTCACAGTGTCTGTGTGCCTTACAAGCTTTAATACCTTTATCAAGTGAAGCTCCAGCCATATGGTAAAAGCTCAATGCTGTGTCCACGTCATTTATATTCTTCAGAAAAGTGAAGAAGTTCTCCACCTCCTCAAATGTCAGCCCCTACAATGGAAAAAGAGAGTCTTAAGTGACAGGAAAGGCAGAGTGCAACTCAACAGCAGGAGACTGTAGCTTAGCTTTGAGGCAACAGTACAGGCAGATTCATGCATGAGATGTGCCTAAACTAGCTTTGCTATAGGGTGCCAAAGGATGGGTCTGTTTTCCCTACCTACCTGTACAGCACACAAGCAGAACAGCTGGTGGGAAGCTCAGCTCCTAGCTCCATTTGGCTGCAAAACACAGCTCAACTGCAGTGCTCTTTTGAGCAGGGCTGTGCTGAGAGCTGCAGCCTCCAGATCACCTGAACTAGTGCTCCATCACAGCAGGAACAGGCACCTGGCCTCCTTCCCTGCACTGATCAATCAGCCTGTCACAGGAGTTCTGACTCAGCCCCTCCTGCCACGTCTACCCAGAGAGATAGATGTACCAAGATACTGAAACCACAACTGCGTAATGTGGCATGGCTTCAAAGTCCAGATGAGAGAGTACACATTGCAGCTGGTGCTGCCAAATATAAACTTCTACAGTTTGCTGTCACCCTGTTCAAGCTGCTCACAACAGTTTCCTATCAGGGAAGAAAGATCTCTTTTTTTTTTTAATATAAAGCTTTTTTTTTTTTTTTTTTTTTTTTTTTTTTTTTTTTTTTTTTTTTTACTATCTTCTCCTACAGACACTCTAGTACTGCAAAAAGAACTGCAAAAAATTTGTAGAATATTCAGAAGTACTTCAGTTTGTTCCTGTTCTCCATGTAACTGACTACATGGCTGTGCATGGCTGATGCATGCTGCAAAGCATGTGCACCAACTGCAGCAGCAAGGTTTATCAGCACTGGATTCATGGATCCAAACCACAGAGAATGAGGTTTCAAAGCACAGACGTGGACAACAGACCTAAAAAAAAATCCCCAGTCACTGCACAGGGGACTTTCTTCAGATGTGTACCTGCTCTGCTTCTCAAGTGGTATGCTAACAGCAGCATATGGCAGAATCAAATATTATGCTGCCCCAGCAAAAGAAAACATCAGGTGCTTTTGCAGAAGGTAACACAAAGACTCCTGCTTTGTACAACAGAGCTGGAAGAGAACAGATCTTGGCAATTCAGGCACCGACCCATCTCAGCTCCTCCCTGCTGGGTGTTTGCGACTGAGCAGAGCATTAACAATTCAGAAATCCTATGGGAGCTAGGATCTGCACAGCCACCTTCAGGCCTGTAGAAGACATCATGCTCTGACTTACTGACCATATGACATTCCATGGCTGTGACACTGGCCACAATGTACCCCAACAACCACTGTAACCAGAGTCCCAGAGCATAGCATTTTCTTGGCCAGTATTGAGGTCAAGAAGTGTTTCTCTTCATGCCAAGTGGCCCCTTGATCAACAGCTTATGGTGGTTGCTGTTCTTTCAGCCTGCAGCACAAAGTTACCTGCTTACATACAATCTTGTGATCCTTGTCATTGCAGGAAGGCAAAAGTAACGACATGTGGAAACGTCCTACTAATTCAGGCTTTCATGGGACACACATGCTGAATCTCCACAACAAAAATCCAGCTGGTATTACAGAATTGAAGAACTAATGAATTCTGTCACTGAGGTTGGCAGCAACACTGACACCTTCCCAATTCTCTAAAACTGGAGAGCTGCAGAACTGTGCTGACAAGCTGACAGCAATGAATGATTGCTATCAGCCAGCAGCCGGGTATGGAGATTTATCTGCCCCATCACTGTGTCTGTCAGCACTGCTCAGCTCTCCATAAGTCGCTCATGTCTCTGCTAAAGGACCAACAGATACTAACCTACCAAAGGTTCTGTCTTTTGTTCCTCAGGGCCATTTCCACATATATCTGCTTTCTGCTGCATCTACCTGAATTTTCATTCCTTCTACTCATAGGGAAATAGCATGCAGTGCAAGTCCTTCACCCATTCTCTCCCTTGCTTTGCTGTCATCAGACTAAGAAAATGAAATCTCAACACAAAGCTACACTGCACAGCCCCAGGCAGCCAACAGCCCTGAAGCACATGCAGAAGATGACCTGGATCAACAGCTTCTGAATAGCCAGCTTGGTTTTCTGGTGGTTAGGGACATATAAACCAAATGGCTTGCTTGTAAATACTGCAGACAACACAAGTCCTTTACTAGAAAGAAAGCAGCAGTGTGAGTAAAATTCAAGGGAGAGGATCATAAACAATTTTATGTGAAGCAGCAGCTCCAGTGAATACACAGAGGAGTTCAGGTATGCAGAGTATGGTGGGATTTTTCAAAAATAGAAGTGAGAGCAGGCAATCAATTATGTAAGAAAATACACCATTCTCAGTGACAGGAACATAGAACAACAATGTTAGAAGAGGGGTAAAGGTTCGCCTAAAGCCACAGCTGCAATGATTTGGGGGCTGACAGGGTCACTGTGCCCAGAATGGATAATTGTAGTAGACAACGTGTGGCAATTTAATCAGAAAGCACTTGAGTTAAATTGCATTTCCAAGGTAATGCTGGGTTAAAAGCTTGTAACATAGTTATGGTTCAGCTCCTGCCACCCCCTCCCCACACCACCCCAAGTTGTATTCCCACTTTGAAAAGAACAACAAGTCACAGCTCCTGCTGCCTTCGGTGAGATTGCTTTAATAAGCCACATGGATAATGGTTTAACATGACTTTTAAAGCATGAAATGAAGGGATCTGGAGAAAAACTTCCCTCAGAACATTCACATCAAGCTGTTGTGACCAAGAAGCTGCCTGGTGACAGGAAACGATTGCAGGACAAATGGTGAAATGGCTGAGTGGCTTCAGCATCTCTTTGATAATTAGGACCCAAAGAAAGGCATGGGAGAGCACCAGCTCCATTCCTTCTCCACAGGCAAGGAGCAAAGCAGAGCACAACACAGCAGCTGCTGGATCTGCAGATGTCTCAGTTGCAGAAGCACTGCCAACACTGAGCTCCTGCTGTTCCCAGTGAAGAGCTTAATGCCACACTCATTTACAAGGGCAACTCTGCAAGCACATCCCTGAATAAATTAGCTGGGAAGCTCAAAAGGCAATTAATGTGATTCTGGCCATGGCAGTCCTATTTCTTAACAGGACAGGAAAATCTAAGTGACATCAAAACACTGACAGCTGCACCTGTGTGATCCAATAAAAGCAGATGAGTACACATAGATACTAAATGCTGCACACAAACCAGCAAAGCATACAGTCCTCTGCAACACCCCAGGAGAAGAACAAATACTTTCAGGAAGAGGTTCTCTTGTACAAAAGACAAAATGTTAGGCACCGGGCTGGATTGTCTGTGAGCTAAGACCTGCCAAAACAGATGAATGTTGTGCTTCATTTCCATCTTATATAAGCACAGGCTTTGAGCATGCTGGTGGTTAGAAGGTTTATCTGCTCCTTTGTAAAGAAGCTGCCACTCCTTGCATCCTTTACTTCTCCCTAAATCAATGTGTATCTTGTTAATAGAGGTGCTGTCTCATTTTAGGATTTGGTTGCTTCATCTCCTCCAGCCTAAGGAATTATAGGATTCTGTTTCTTGAAAACATTTCTTTTTTCCCCCTTAAAAGTTATTGGAATGAAGAAATAAAGAGACTTGCTCAGGATCTGTCTGTTACCTACAAATAGAAACACAATCTGGCTGCCTTCAGGATGAGGAGTAAGGCAAAAACAAAAGTTCTTTCTCTGCCACAGATGTCAGGTTTCTGACTGACACATGGAAGGAAAGGAACATCTGCTGTAAGAAACCTTCCAAAAATAACCTTCCCTCTGACTAATTTCTTATACACCTGGCTACTGTACCACATATATGTACAATCACAGCAGAGAATCAGCAGTTTGTGAGTGTAACAATTGAGCTGATATTTTCTATTCCAAAGGCATCACAGCCACTCAGTCACAAAGTATTTGTCCCCAAGAAATCAAATAATTCCTGTTAAAGCTCAAGGGGAGCAGAAGTATTAGAGGAGTAAAATCCACAGTGTCTCACTCAAAAATCCAATAAATGGACTCAAAACTGCACCCTTGGAAACACTGATGGTCTTATTAAAGCTAGTGACCAACAGCTTGGGAAGTGAGATTTTCATGTATTGATAGGCAATTTCTTCCTGCTTTTGGGCATTGTTTGCTGTGACAAACAATGTATCCTGAAAGCACCCGAGCTCAGGCCTCCCCAGAGTTGACAGATGAGATGTCTCCGAACTAGACTGCTGATGAAGTTCCGGTTGAGAGATGTACTTCAGGGATGCCCAAATGTGCTGAGCCTCTGCGCTGTGCTGGGAGAGATGAAAACTCACTTGACATCACTTGTTCAGTTCTCAAAGGAATGCTCCCAGGAGCACCACCTGGGGCTGAGTGGTACATGAGCTATGCTGAGGCTCATGGATGCTGCAGGCTTGCTATTTCTGACCAGTATAACATCAAGAGTTTTGATTATGAAGATTATGCCTTCAGTGAATGTTAATTATTGAGATGAGAAAACTCATTTGTGGCTGAAAGCCCTGGTTCACACCGGTTCACACCTTCCACATTCACAGCTGTGTACAGAAGGGCCTCCCAGCTAAACCAGAGGTTTTCACCTGGCTGCAGCACTATCAATGGGAAAAGTCCCAATAACTTAATGCTGACAAGAGCTTGCCCTCGGGGTATATCAATAGAGACCTACTGGTGTTTGTGCCTTGCTTCAGTGCACCCAAATTCTCCTTTGTAGTCCCGACACCAGCAGAAAAGACAAGGGAAAGAGTCACTGATGCGGTTTTGTATGGACCAAAGATTCCTGAACACTGCAGGAGTTCAGGACAGTTTTATTTACAGTCCCCCACATAAGACAGAAGAGGACAGACTCCAGCCAACACTGCTGCCCTACAACACATTCTGCATCTAGAACTTCCAGGAAATAAACATCAGATCTGATTTCATGAGAAAGTTGCATTAAGAGTCAGGACAACCCAATGTGCAAAGGACTTCCATCCATTCTCATTTTGGTTAATTGCACATTTATAACCTAGATCATAAAAGAACAATCCACCTTTACTGAAGCAGACATGAAATTCTAATACTGAAGTATTGCAGCACCCCATACTTACTTTACCTGATGAAACACATCCTTTTAAGTATGCATATTTTATTCCAAGGTCTCTCACTAGATTAACTGGTGAAGGATGTGCAGCCTTATTCCTCTCTAAATCATAAGTAATCAAAACCATTTTTCACACAAGTTCATAACTAAATAATAAACTGCCCAGCCAGAGCAGCTAATTAAACCAATGTCAAGCCAGTAACTATGTGCATATCTTCAGCATTTATTCTGGCTTCAGATCCAGAGTGCTACTTCCTAAACATAAGTTTTGTAAACTGTCAATAGGGAGAAGCCTACACCCTAATCAGGACATGATTACTGCACTCCCATCTCCTGCATCTCCCTGCTCCTGGGGAGGATTCATCATCTGCAAAGTCAGCATGCCTCTCCAGACTGCTTTTCTCTGGATGACAGGAATGGCTTGTTACATGTCAACCTATTGCTCAGGAAAGTCATTTCCTGTCCTCAGCCCTTCACAAGGGCATGAAATCCTCAGGGGTTTCATTCATCTCTGCCACAAAACATCACTCAGCCATGCGCAGTTTAGACACATCAGTGGAAAAGACCATCAGTGCATTTCTCCCTACAAGGGTACCCACTGAACCCGACTCGCCAGCTCATCTCTCAGCATGGTGCGAGATAGTTGCCTGCTCCTCTGCCCCCCCCCAGATTCTTAAATTTGACTGACCTCCCCATCTTGGAAATGTTTCTTGAGCTGCTTCAGCATGACAGTGAGCTTCTTTGACTGCACCCCGCTGTAGGCCAGCAGCATGCTGCCAAACTGCCGCTCTGTGATCCGCCCGTCCACTGGGTCGTGCCGCTCAAACTGCAAGGAAAAGACGACGACAAAAACAAGAGTGTAAAAAAGGTACAGTAATAATAAATGAACATCATAGCAGACATGCTTAGAGAAGAAATCCCCGCACAGTTGATTAGTTGCTTCTCCAGGACTGTTTCCATCAGAATCAATACTTCTTTGCATGGGCAACTTCTTGAGAAATTTTCACATGTAATCCTCCCATCTTATTTCAGTTATAAGTTTCATCTTATTGGAGGCTATTTGTAGAACTGGACTTGAAAAAGCAGGATGATTACTTTAACCCGAATCTAAGCTTGTGACCACAGGTCTCCAAAGAAGTGAGACAAGAAAAAAATACTAAGGTGCTCTTCACAGGGCCTTCTAGTTTGGACAAACACCTGAATAAGTGTGTGTTGCAGCAGCTTCTTCCCACCTGCTCAGAAGACTCCAGTTTCACACACCTCAGCATTCAGAATCCCCTACTTGATTTCCATAAAGTATATTGGAAAACGTACAGCTGATTACAAGCCCAAGGATGACATTTAACAACGGAATTAATTTTTAAACTCTTATGGAACAACTCATCTATCTCAAGAGTAACATTAATTTGACATAACATGGCTGTGTTAACCATTCCTGCCTCAATCGCTTTTACGTGCTTAATTACACAGCTAGCACAAAGCCAGCAAGGCACCCAGCTGAGATCAAGGCGGGAGTAGGGGATGAAAGGCAGCAGCTCTGCCTGGGATCTTGAATTGCCTCTGAAGAGGTGCATTTCTCAGGAAAGCCTTGATTCAGTTTCCAGAGGGGCAGCAGCACTGTATCTGACTCTGCATTAAGAGGTGACAGTGTGGCTTCCAGATGGGGAAACAAACATTTAACCAAAACACAGATGCCTCTAGTCCATAGTTGGCAGCCACCTACTACGCTCACTCACGCACTGCAGCGACAGCCAAGGAGGGGAGTGAAACACCAGTGCTGCAGAGCAGCCGCTGTCTGCTGGGCTCCCGTCTCAAGTACAGTACAATCACCACTGAGCTGAAAAAAAAAACCAAACTTTTTTTTTTTTTTAAACCAAGCAGCAACATAGCAAAGGGTGAAGGAAGTTCAAAACTTGCCTGCAGCTGGTGTCAGATACACTTGAGTTAATTGTGAGTGGGATGAGCAGAGGACATTGTGTATAGAAGACAAAAATTTCAATGAGAAGAAAAAAGGAAGTTTAAGCAAATACACAAAAGTTGGTTTTAAAATAAGCCCTGATGTTTGCAGGAAAAGAGGACGAGTGCAATGGGGGCTGCTGCGATCCCCATTTCCACCTCTGGGCTTCACAGGTGCCAGCATTCCTGGACCAAAGCTCTGTGCTCCTAGAAGTCACCAACAAAACACATTTCCTGAGATAGTAAATGTTTTTGTTTTTTTTTCCCCTTGATATGCTGCCAGTAGTGTTTCTTCATCACAAAGCTTAGCTTCAAATGATTTGAGAGAATAACCTTCTTTTCAGCTTCTAAAAACACACACTCAGCTGCAGCAGCCCTTTCCCACTACATGCTGGGATGCAGGCATGTGTTTTCTCCTGCATGATTAACAGCATATTTCCAGTTATAAATCAAGACTTCAGAACCACTGGCTCTCTCTGGCAGGCAGCAAGCATGGTAAAGGCACCCTCAGTTATTTGTTGGGCAAGCTCTTGGTGAGCTCAGTGCTGCCGGACAGCTTCCAGCCACCACCACTTGGTGCCAGCAGTGGATTCTGCATGCACGCAACAGTAAGGCTGCAAGACTTAATAGAGGCACAGTGCTCTCCAGTGTCACCCGAGGTGCTGTGGAAATTAGCCTAAAATATATTAGGCAATATTGATAGTCATTAGAAAGCAGTGAGATATGCAGGACAATCAGATGTGCTCCCCAAAGGGGAAGAAGGCAGAAGAAATGGGTACAGCCAGAAGTCACCAGAGCAGATGTCCCAGTGCCAATCTGAAACAGCTTCCCCAGCTGGTCCATGCAGCCAGCCCATGTCCACATCAGCCATTAAAGAGACTACCTGTAAGCTGAAAAATACATTTAAAATACTCTTTTTCCCCCCCACACCAAAAAATTAGGTGTGAAAAACACCTCCGTGTTTCTCTAAGAGAAGCTTCTTATATATTTCTAATGATAAGGTTAACATAGCTTTCAGTCTGAATAACTCAGACTACCCTCTTTTGCTTCAGTGCATACAAGAAAGGCTTCATCAAATGAGGAAAGCAGAAGGCAAATAAAGAGAGACTTTTCTTTGCTTCCACATCTCCTTAATTGCAGAACTCCTGACTGAAAGGCAATGCAAGAATTCACCACAGGACAACAGACCTGTAATCACGCTGCTCCCAGACTTCACTGCTTGTTTTGACTATCCCACTCCACCTGCTCCTGGGGGAAATCAAATGCCAGCCCCTGAAAAGCACAAAGCCTGAGCCACTTCAGAGGCAACACCATAGAAAGCATCTTTGTTCAGGAAAATGCTGGGACTTCTTACACACAGAAGTTAATTTCCTCTCATCCTCCTTCTGCTGCCACCACCTGCAGCACTCATGGCTGGGTAATGAGGCAGCTCCAAGGCTACAAGCCACCTGATGTAGGCAGCAGGACCTGCTCTGGGTCCTCCCATGCACAGAAAATGGACATGGCCAACGCCACCAGAACTCAAGCCATCTGTCTCACAAATGAGGAGTTCTCAGCTCTGACAAAGAATGGGAAACAGGAGTGAGTATTAAGCTAAGAGCTTAAGGCACAGCAGCATCACATCTCTAGGAGCTGCTTGCAGACCCTGGGCTCTGCAGGTCTCAGGGCAGGGCTGCACTGCTGCTTCCTGCCCTGCTCCAATACTGCTTTCAGCCACAACACTGCAGTGATTTGGAAAGAAAACTTCAAGATTATATTGGTGCCTTTTTTAATATTACTCCGAGAACACCTAAAATCCTAGTGCTGAAACCCTGGCTCCTCAGCAACTATGAGTACCAGGAACTGCTTCAAAGCAAGAAGCAGAGATGTGGCCACCAGACCTAAGTGTGCAAAGCAGCACCATGTCTGCACTGCCTGAGGAGAGTGTTGGAAAGCCAGGACAGCTGAGCACCACATGCAGCCTGCAGACAAAGTCCAGGGAACGTTGCCATTTGGTTTTTAAACCAAAGCCAAATGCACATCACCCAGATCAGCAAGAGCCTCAGATGTGTTGATGAAAACATAGCTCTGACTTTCTTCAACACCTCCCGAGCTGTTTGCTGATTGCATGCCAAATTCAAGCCCATAAAGACCCACTAAATAAAAATAAAAATAAAAACAGATTCCTGACCAGCAGTGCATAGTTTGAGCCGCTCTTGTCTTGAGTCAATGTGAGCCAAGGTTGATTCTACTCAGTGCTGTGACTCGAAGGAAGTACATGCACACTTTGCACTGGCTTCTCTATTTCTGTGTTACCACTACCTGCCATCATTTGCAGTATGCTCCTGTGGAAGCAGGAGGCCTCCCAGAGAACCAAGCGAGCAGCAGGCAACCAAGAAATGATTAAGAACAACAGAAACTGTACTACTTCTTAGCCTTTGCCTTCATTATTAAACTCCAAATCGATGTCAGTTTTCTAGAATTCCATGTAAAAACAGAGCCCCCACATTTCTTTAACAAAATCAGTCTCCACATACTGCAACATAAAATGTGAATGTGGTTTACGAAGAAGTCTCCTTTTCCTCCAGCTGCATGGATCATCTTCTGCAGCTTCAACCTGGCCACAGCCAGATGCCAAAGCACAAACTGAGCCCTGATTTGCTGCCAGAGACCCCCGCACGTCAAACAGCCAGGAGTGTCCCACACATGTCATCACCACCTTGGGCAGAAAATTCTATGGTAATTAAAATAGTGCTGGCTGCAGAACTGACCCTCAAGCAAACACAGCACCCCTCAAATCTACTTAGAGGCCATGCTTGTGGAACTCAGAGCTGCAAAATGGTATAGACAGTGAATTCCTGGTAGTTTTTAATGGAAAATACCACAGAGCTTTGAACTCCCAGCTCCAGCAGGCACAGGAGTCGTCTGCTTGGTATTACTTCTCTCAGCAATGCTTCCAGCAGCCCCAGGCACTCAGTTTGTGGTGGGACTTGAACATCTCTATTGCACTGCCTTACCCTGTGACAGTACAATTACAGCACTCTCAGTTACACAGGGGCTTGCTGAGAGCTGCTGTATGACTGCGCTGGTCTGTAAACACCAGGGAAGGTTATGAAACATGGTCACATCGCACAGCTTTAAAAGGGAGATTAAGCACAAAGCACAGCATTTGTGCAGTGCGGGAGTCAGCATTTTCAAGTTATTGGGTTTTTTCTTACTTTTCGGAAATCTCCTAAACCAATCTACAGTTTGATGCAGATCTCTGAAAAGTGAACAAACTGCAGCCAGGCACTCCAGCAGTGTAAAGCCTGTCCTCTTACACTGGATGTTCCTATCCAGCTGCATTTTAGCAAGCTGTTAAATTGCTAGAAAGGCTTCTCCTAGAAAAACAAACAATGCATAGAGTCCCTAAAATTTCAAAGCAAGCACCTAAGGAAGAAATGTGTGCTGCTTATTAACCATTGAGATAGCAAGAAAAAAATCTACAAGGGATTTTGGGTGGAGAGAAGAGCGCAGAAGATATTTTTTGAACTTTGTGTTGGTTAGACAAGCATCAATAACAGAAATATTGCTAATTCTGTCAGTTTTAAGGATACTTGAAAAAGGTGACCTGTTTAGAAAGGCAGCAAAGTGTGTATAATAAGGGGCCAAAGGGATCTGGGAAATAATGATTTGTGGGGTAATATTCAGATTCACAATCTCTGACTCTTTAAAGTAGTATTTGCTCAAAGCTTTATTGGACAGGCTGTAATGCATTATTTATCTGCAAACTGCTGCAGCACTGGTTCTGTTTACTGCTCTGAAGAAGCACGTTGCCAGGATCTCATCAAGTTGCATATACAACTCTGACAGAGAAGAAAAGCACTGTTCATCTTCCTAAAACCCAGCAACCTCATCTGTCCAGAAAAAAAAAAAAGAACAATCTGGGAGGAAGCTATGATGCTCACAGGGGCAACCAAATTAATGCCAGAAGAGAGAGCATGGCAGAAGTTTCTAAACACTTTTTAGTTGGAAAATCAGAGGTCTCCAAATAGCCACATTTGCACGCTTGCACACCAGGCTATCCAAGAAAGTCATTTCAGAGCTAGATAACACATGCAGAAACAAATAACTGTTCTTAACATGCAGATATGGCACTGGGGGACATGGTTGAGCGGGCAGGTAAGCCACTTTCACAAAGGAAAAGTCCCATCCTTTGAACGGGTTCCCTCTTCTCCCTTTGCTCTCCAAAAGCAGCTTACGTGAATATGTAGCAGCAAGGTTAAAAATGTGCATCTGTCAGCAGCAGTGAAATCCCTGCAGAAGAAGTGCTTCTTAGATGCTTTTGACATTTCTTTGGCCTTGGCACAGAACCACTGCCTGCAAGGGGAAAAAATTAATTCCAACCACCAGCAACTTGTTACGCTTTAATGAGCAATTAAAAAAAGGTTATGTAAAAATGGCTGTACCTTAACTTCATCCTCATGAATCAAAATAACTTCCTGCCAGCTCTGAAAGGATCTGCATTTTGAAATTTCAAGTGTTGAGGGAATGAAATGAGAAAAATGTAAAGGAGAGGAATCTGTAATACTCATGTCTGATGAATTAGAGAGAAGCATTCACTTGACTGCTGGGGGCTGAGTGAGATGAGACAGAGCACCCAGCTGCTACTCTGCCAGCCAAGAGCCCAACTACCACTGCTGCTCTCTGCCCTGACTACATCACTGTCACTTGTACTCTTGGCAATACTCCCAGTATCCAGACATAAGGAGCAGAGGAGCTGCTACATCCCATGGGCCCACTGAACAAGGAAAATGCAAAGTTCAGAAATGTAATGAGCTCCTGACCTATCTGCAGCAAAGTCCATTGGCTGGTGGCACATAACCATTCCCAAGTCCGGAAATCTCAATAAAAGTCTCTGTGGAATCGATGTATGCAGTCTTATTACAACAGGAGTACATCTCTCTTTCACTGCCTGCTAGGAGTTCACACTGTTTCCGCTTGGCCTTGGAGCTCAATTTACTAAGAGAAAATAAGTTAACTGCACTTTAAATCAGTTTAGCAGAGAAAAGGGAGTGAAAAGGGTAAGGCAGCTGCTCAGACCACCTCACATCACACATAACAGCACAAAAATCAGGATTTTCAAGATGAACACAGTAACATGTGGCACCTCAGCCGTATTTTCAGAATCCTGCTTTTCATCTTACTGTCCCAGAGCTGGTTTGATACCACAGGCATGTACCTCATTACTGGCAATAAGAGACTGGGGAAACTTAACAAAACTAAGTATGAAGATTAAATCACTGCTCTTAGCAGATTTGGTGCGGCATTTCAGAGAGCAGAGAGGTGACACAGATGTGGAAAACAAAGAGCTAACACTGCTATATCTACTTACAGAACCACAGAAAAATGTAGGCTGGAAGAGACACACGGGCTGGCTGGGACTCTCAGTCCAAGAGGACCAAGGAGATGGGAAGATTTAGGACAGATACTATCAAGCAGTAAAAGTGGAAACGATCATGTCAAGAACTATCCATCTTCCTAACTCACAGAACTCACTCAAAACAACACTACTTGAGACAAATACTGCATATGGGACATACTGGCTGCAGAGCCTTCACTGCCTTTTTACTTCAAACTTATCACCCTTTGTGACACTGATAGGAGAAAAGGGAGTTTTTCCAAAGATGCTAATACAACAGAACATGGAAAAAAAAAACCCAAGTACTTGTTTAGGATCCCACCCTGTTGCTGGGTTGGTCTCAGGCATCCAGCCTTAGCTAATCCATATCAGCATGCAACCCAGAAAGGATTCTAGCTCCGCTCACACCTATAGGCACCAGTTCCAGAAGGCAGAGCTGGCACTGATACCTGTCATGGAAGAAGCAGCAGCACTTTGCATGCACTTTCTGCTCTGGAAGACAACAGGGAAAAGCAGTGAGATATCAGGGAAACCACTGAAGCAGCCAAACCACAAGAAGTTATAACGAGTCATTAAAAGCTTCTCTTTGCCCTCTGGTTGTGGTTACATTTCTCATCTCTTCCTTCCATTGCTGAGTTCTCATAAAGTGATGGAAAATGTACTTTCATCAAAACAATAAGCAAAAGGAAAGAAAGTCGCCATGGTTATTTGAACATGCTGTCAGCATTTCACCCAAACAGAATAGGAAATGTCTGGGGCTTTGTCTGACCTAATCATTCTCAGAAAGTTTCTGCATGAATATTTTGGTAAGCAGAAAAAAAAAACAAAACCAGTAAGAAGAAAATGGGCTCAGGTGGTCAGAAACTATTCTACCCCCACAGCTGGAAGAAGAAACTGATCCTCTTGTATACTAACTGCAGATATGCCTGGATCTGTCTTACCACATTTTAAGAGGCTGTGTTCGTTAGAGCACTCCTTAGAAAAGGAATGATATGAACCCACAAGGCATTGCGTGAAAAGCCACTTCACCATGAACAAAACCATCAAATGTGAAACAAGGAGAGAAGGGTTGAGATAATGTCAAAGAAGATAAAAGCATTGGAGGAGAGAGGCCATGTTACATAACACTGAGGACAGAAATAGGTCTGCATTGCCTAAATCAGTGAGAACGACAAACAAAAAAAATCAGGTGCTTTAATATCCCAAATTCAGGAAAAAACCCACAGGTTTGGCAGAACAAAATCATCAGCACTGCACAGGTCAATTTTTCAGCTGAAATCATTAAAAAATGCTATGCACAGCATGGACCATTCAAGGGTGCATACTCATTCACTTATCAAGACATCAGTACCTCGTACTGCCCACAGTTAACTTGTTAGAAAGGCAACTAACCTTCATCAGAAAGATGTACAACTGACTGATAACACTACAAACTAAATCAGTACTTAACTGTGCAGGAAGAAAAGAACAAGTATGAAGAAGCTAAAAAAAGTCCTATTGCTTATTAATGAGCAACGTGAGAACCCACAGATGAACCACTCATCTCCAGCACTGGGTTAGAAAAAAATAGTTCAGTGCCTGATCACTGCCAAACATTGGAGAGAAAGTGGCAGTGGGAAACCAGAGCAGAATGGCAACAGAGAGATCTCTAGTTCTCTTCCCTTGAAGTTTTATCTTAGGTTTCTTAACCTTAAAAATTATTTCATTGATTTTCAGTTTGTAGAGGAACTGAAGAATCAACACTTTCCAGTCCACTGAGAACATTTTTCCTCCAGTCTACTCCCCCCACAAATGCACAGCCATGCTGCCAAGCTTTAACGAACAGTTAAATAAGCCAGCTAGCTGGACAATTGCCCTCATTAAGACATTAGTCCTTGAGTTAGTTCCTTACATTTGTAAAACTCCAAATAAAAGAGGGAATCAATTCAGGTTCAGTTCACAGGGACCAATTTGATAGCAGCCCATTAAAAAGCTGTATATTAGCTGAATCACACATCCTGAGCACGTGGATATTCATGCATCAGACAGAAACACTAGCAATCTCTGAATAATACCTTAACATATCATGGTTGTGAGAGGATCTTCCTGAACACAAAATCCTCACCTGTGATTCAAAGAAGAACCTGGCTTTGCTCAAGCCAACTCAAACCTTCACGCTTTTTCCAGTGAAAGGCAATGCATTAAATGAATCAGTTCCACTTGGGAACCGAGACAGACACCAAGAAATCTGCTGTTGCTGTTCCTGTACTCACATTACTCAGAAGAATAAATGTTGAAGATTGATACTTGAAGTCAAGTTATGTGACCAGTAGGAGTTACTGGGAGTTGCTGTTAACTCACAATAATGGAAAAATAAGGATGCATTCAGTTCTGTTGAATGGCAGAAGATTCAGAACAGACAGGCATTTCTTATTCAATCCTGGGTTAACGTACATTATAACAGAGGTCACCTAGCAGAGAACATGTATTTAGAATATTCAAAAGAAGGCTTGAATGCTTACGCAGCAGAAGTGTTCAGAGTAGTGAAGCAAAGAAGGAATGAGCACAGATGAAGAGCTTTGGGAAGACTATAACCCCCAGTCCTTCAGGGCACAGTTTGCTCAGAACTGAGACAAACCTGCCTTGGTAAAGTAGCAATAGACTGCTCACCACCTCTTTTCTTTTTCTAGAGCATCTCATCATTGGGCAGCAACAAAGCAACAGCAAGGCAAGTACGACATGGAGATGAGCATGCCTGGGATCTTGCATTCTGCTTTCACTCCACAAACACCACTACCAAAAAGAGCTGGAGATGTTCCTTGGGAGCATGACATGCACTGAAAAGTTCATCAGAAAACCAACAGAAGTTACACCACTCTGCCCTCTCCCCATACACAAAAATAACTCAAACCTCCAGCTTCAGAATATCGTGCTGCAGTTTGCGCTGGAAGTCAAGGAAGTGGGAGATTGTCAGCTTCCCCTTCAGGTCTGCCCCAAAGAAGTACGTTGTCAGTGCCGAGTTGAAGCCAGTCTTCAGGGTGTTCCCAGTTGTGGACCGGTCTCTGTGGCGCATGCCCATGCTGGTTTGGGAGCGAATGATGCTCTGAACCTAAAAAACAAGAGGGAGCATGTTAGAATAAAAACCACCAGGGGGAATTGTAAATCCTGGTTAGCCAGCACGAGGTCCACCTAGCTCACATCACATTTCCTTTTCCCCAATATACAAAACAAGTTCAGTTGTTTTTTTTTCTTTTTTTTTTTAAATACTCAAGGCCTCTCTGCTGCAGTTTTAAGCTCCTCCATCACTAGGGCAGGCTGAGCCACAGAGAGGTCCTGTCCAACAGAGTAAAAAGTTCATCAGATTGTATCAGCCCACACAGGCCCCCAGCAGAATAACACACACTGTAAAATATCTAAGTTATCAACAGGCAGATATCTGCCCCAACACAGCCAAATGTGAGATCATGCACTGTAACAGCAATATCTTGCAAAACCTCTGCTCTGGGAACCACAGCAAACCACTCAGCATAGACGTTCTGGTCAAGATCAGCAGTCAAGAGACTAAGTAAATCACTCAGAAAGCAAGATGACAAGGATATGGGAGCAGCCATGGACACTGCAAACATCCTTCTGAATTCTCTGAAAAGCCCCACACAGCTCAAGCAGGTGGCATGATATGGGGAAAGGACACCCAGGACAAATTCACCAGCCCCAAGACATGGCAAAGCATCAAACTGAAGGATGTGATGGCTGAAAAAAAAAAAAAACCCACAAAAAAACACCAAATAACCCAAGAACTAATTATTCTAAGGAGGGTTATTCTCCATGTGACAGCCAACTTCTTCCACTGTACTGCTCAGCCCTAGTGGGAGCAGAGGGAGAAGCTCCAAGGGGCTTTCTGGAGCTCCAACAAAACCCGTGGCTTTGCCCTCAGCCTCCTCCTGCCAGCACACGTTGGAAGGAATGAAAAGCAAAGGCAGCAGCTGCAGAGGGCTTTAGCTGTCAAAAGGATGCTGGAACCTTGTTATGGCAGTATATGGGATGTTACTTTTTTTTTGTTACAACCCCAAAGATGATGCTATGGAGAACGTTGTGTATCCTTCCCAAGCTCACTGCCTCTCACTGCAAGGAACATCTGAAGTCACAGGTCAAAACAAAGAAACAAGGGTGGTTTATTTTTTTTTTTTTTGAAGTATGCTCTGATGTGAGGAAAGAGTGTGCCCTCTGGTTTGTAATGCTGCTGTAAATAGCAGCTCCTCCTTTTGCTTTGTACTCCACTTGAACTGTGAGCTCTACACGCACATTCTAGGCAAATATTTAAAAACTGTCTGAAGCAATGCAGTTTATGACCAGCTGGGAAACTGCCCCTTCTGCAAAGCAAACGCTCACCACACTGCAGGCTGGGTGACAGTGTATCTTCTGAGTGTGATTCATACGGCATCTCATGTTGCAGCCAGACCTGTGCCCCTCTTTTCTTCCCATCCATAGCAAATACCAGACAGTCTAAACATCCGTCTGTGGGCACCGGAGCCAAGCAATTAGGGCCTGGTCCCTATTTTGGGTAATTCAGATAGCCAGAAGCACAGGCGCCTGCCGTACATTCTCCAGCCCAGCCAGTGCTGTCCTCCCCCGCATCTTATTGATCACACAGTTCTGCACAGACACTTCACTGTCTTTTTTTAAAACATATTTCAGCCCAAGTGTTTGATCTGTTTCAGCTTTTGTACCAGGCAAGGGGAAAAAATAATAAAAACAATCAATGAAAATAGTTAAAAGCAATGATTTGAAGAGAAACTCAAAGTAACGCTGCCTGCAAGTTAACTACTTTTCATTCAACATTTTAATTAAAAATAGAAGTGCAGCCCACCAATTTCTGGTTTATATACCATAGGATGAAAAGGTAAAAATGATAGTGATGCAGACAGCAAGCAATTCAGTGTTCATACTGAGCATATGTATCAACACCAAAAAAAACTGCGGCTGTTCCTTGAGGCACAAGAAATTAATACCTTCCTGTCAGGCACTGCAGTCTCTAAGTCACACATCAGCTGCATTACTGAGAGACAGTTTTCCTTGATGAATACTCCAGGTTTTCAGATGTTAATGACAAGACAGACCTGTTGTTGATTTTCTCTGAATGGAGCATGAAATCTGCACCCAGAGCCAGCAGGGATAGCAGGACACTGAGCCAAACCTTTTCCTTCCCTTTTCTCCAAAATTGCATTGCTCTTTTAACACTACCTCTAGCAGTACACTCCCCAGGAATGGGGCACTTGTAGATGTTCCTACCAGGCCCAGCTTACGGCACAGATTTTCAAGCCCCACCATCCTTTGTGCTCTTACCGAGGCCTTACCATAAGGAGTGAAGAAAAAAGTGCATTTGTTTTATAAATGATTACATCTGCATTTATACACACACACAAAAAGGACGTGCCTCCCATCGAAGCGATGTGTTTACCTTAATTGTGTTTGCCAAGTGCAGCAAATTGGTTATGGTGTTATCTGCCCAGAGCAGATGGCAGCAATCTGATTTGACTGAGCACTTGAGTCAAAAAGCTCGTGTTGTCAGACACTTCTCCTTGTTTCGATATTGCCACGTTCTTCTCACTTTCTAAAACAGCTCCTGAATCCTTTGACTCAAAGGCTCTGGAAAGATCGGTCTTCACCGATACATCCTGATGCTAAACAGTAATTTTATTCCTTTATATAGATGCAGTGACGCACGTAACAAGCTTAACAAAAATATGTTCTCCTTCCCAGGGATTTTTGTACGGCTTAACACACAGATAACTTCCTGATGATTTGAGATAATTTAATTCTACCAGATGATTGGAGATTATTTAAATCTATTTTGTACTTTCATTTTCCAAGCACTTCCAAAATAGGCATCCTGAGGAAACATTCCTTCTTTCTTTACCCACAAAAAAGCCAAGCGTGACACCTGCGTTAATGCTTTGGCTTCACTGCAATTTTAGCAAGCTGTTAACTAATTTCCACTTTCCTTAAATTCATTTATCTGTGCATTGACCTCACTTTAGAACATTAGTAACTACTGCAAAGTACCTTTTTGAATTGTTAAATATTATTGGATGCCTGTGGTGCAGTACTATTACATTCATTTACTTCTCAAACATACAAGGAAGAACAGTATTCTTGACTGTGAAATATTCTTCATTTCCTATTTAAGCTAAATCAGTTAGGAAGGCAGTGCTACACAGCACAACAACTTGGACATTGCTGTGAATTCAAATTTGCACTCAAAGGCAACTCCTGAATTTATGTCACATGCTACTCCTTCAAGATGTGTCACGTTGGAAATAAAGCATACTCTGCTGTTATTGCAGTCCAAATCTTGCACCTAAAACCACAGCTAATCAAATAAATTGCACAGCTCTGGAGCAAACTGATAATACCAAACCAATAGGAAATAATTCAAGGAGGATGGCAGCAGAAGATCGGAAGCGATGGGGTACGTTTAACAGATCTGCCCGGCCACTTGCTCTCTCCATTTACAGCTAACCACAACCTCTCACAGACTCTTCCGTAGTTAACCACTCATTCAACCAACCTCTGAGAAAGAATTTGTAAGTAGATAAGTAAAAGTAAAGGCAGGTTATTTTTTATGACCATACAGTCTCCTCCTTTGCCCAGATGCAACATCTTCCAGTTGCCCACTGAATGCTCAGCCTCAAGAAATGTGGAGTAAGAGACAGTATCTGAAGCTCCATGAATACCTGCTAGATGAGATAACAGAGGTAGTGATTTGACATTCCAAATCTTGATGAGGGAAAAGCTGAGTCCTGCTACAGCTGGAGAGGTCAGATTGTTTCCCCACTGACCACCCAGGTCTTCGCTTCAATCTGTTCTTGCTACTGCAGTATCACAAGTCACACCACATATGAAGGCATTGTTTATATCATACACACAGGCTACGCTCTTTAAAAAGCCTGCAAACTCTGCTAATGGAACTTTGCATGAAGCAAAGGAAAACTAACGGAAACACCCCCTCAATAAATATTTTTATGTTTACCTTGAAATAAACAGGTAAATTCCTCTTAGAAGCAGATTAGTTCTTGTTATTGTCTGAAGACAAAAGTAATAAATACAGTAAAAGCCACAGAAGAAAGTAAAATCAAAATCTTCTGTCATGAGCAGCAGACACCTTACCAGTGACACTTTGCAAAGATACCTTTGGGACAAAATCTCTGGAAACAAGTTCATATTTAAAGTTGTTCTGGCTGAATGAAAAATTATATCTTTTTTAATAAAAAAGCAGAAATCAAGTCACAAAAGCAGAACACAGAAGGAAAAGCTGTAAGGTAGCAGTAACCACAAATATAAATCACAGCAACACCCCAGAGAAGTGCTGCTGGTACAATTAAGACATAGCAGCACTAAGTCAACCCACCATTCAACTCACCTGCTCAAATTCTTCCATGTCCACTTCACCATCGCCATTCAGGTCAAACATCTTGAAGGCAATTTCAAAATTCCTTTGGGGAGCTACATTGAAGAAACAAAAAAAACAGTTAAAGAAACTACACAAGTTCAAAACAAGGCAGGAGTTACAAGTTTCAGAATGATGCCATCTGAAAGTAGATTTCTATAATGCCTTTTTAAGGAGAAAACGCAGCTCTCAGGAACCTTTACAAGTGTCATGGTGCTGCTTTTAATAGTGGTCTAGATACAGAGATTGGGGGAAAAAATGTTTCTTGGAAAAAAAAAGTACTCATTTTATAGATAGAAAAGGCAAGAAAGCAAAACATCTCGTATCTGTAATGAGCAATCAAAAGCAAATGACACCGTAGCAGGAACTGAAGCCTGTTGGCATGGTGTAATACACACTCAGCCAGCTGATGTCCCTCTGCGCTGGCCAGGGCTTTGGGTAATTCTCTTCCAGACTCAAGCTCCTGCCACTGCGCAAATTTAAACAAATCATTACCAACCCTGTCTCAGTCCAGATATAACATGGAGACAAGACATGAGCTGGAGATCACCAGCAGGAACCCAAATGAGACTGTGGCACCCTATTTTTCATTGCATTTCGTCTATGTTGTTAGGCTTTATCTAGCCAGAGTTGTGTGAATGCATCAGGCCGACAAGTTAGCTTCACAGCAACCTACCACAGCAAAACTGCTATTGGGCATCCTAAGGAATTCCAGAAGATTTCCATTCCAGGTTCTGCAACCCATCAACATTTAAGTTACAACAGTGCCGTAATTTTTTCCCCAAATTGAGCTGATGTAGGAGAGTGCATATTGTTCCACTACATTCAAATATATGCCACCTACAAGGATTTTGATGTTCACTAGGATTTGCAGGGAATCCACCAGGCTCTAACTATTGCTCAGGTTACCTTAAACAATGCAGTTCAGCCCTCTGTTCTGCAGGGCGTTCTCCCCCCCAGAGCTGGCAGCAGGATGCAGGTCACCAGTGACGTTCAGCCTCATCCATTTTTATCAGCTTTAATATCTCTTGCAATGCTCGAAAAATAAGAAGTTTCAGCAGCCATCTCTATGCTAGCACCTCTCAGGGATGGGGGCACAAAGAGGAATCATTCAGAGAAATTAACACAGAATTAACTGAACTGGATTTGTGCATTGGTTACAGCTTCAATTGAAGGCCAGAAGACTTTTACATTGTATTTCCCCTTGCTATAATAAACTGGAGCACTTCATGGATTCAGCAAACACATGTTAACGAGGTTGGTTTTCCAATCACTTTGAGACTTACCAAGATGTACAACACCATTAAACCCGACAACAGAAATGGCCTGTTGCCCACCACATGAAATATACACCGCATACAGGTCTGCAGTTATCTCTGGGTTTCCAATTTCCCCACACTACACAAGCCATTACCTGGGCTTTAAATCGCAAACACTGAAACACCCTGCATGACAGATGCCCCCTATAACCATGTCAATACCCAGCAGCACGCTATCTGATATTTCCCTTTTCCTGTGCCATTCTGCAGCAGAAGAGAAGCCTCCATCCTGGCTCATTCATCCTGGCCAGGTGGGGGAGACCCCATGGATGGGCCACCCCTAACACAAGTCAACCCCACAAGCCCTCCAATAATGCAATGAGGGATTTATACTAATTCCTCATTTCCTCAAAGAATGACAATATTAAGAACCTTCCAGCTGCTCTACTAATAATGCATCCATTTCATTCATTTTAATTACAAGTTCCACATGAAAACCTGCAGGCATTTCTTTTCATTAGCCCCAAAATCTAGTACTGCACTGCAAGTCATATGCTCCGTGAGGAAATATGGAAATTTCCTCTGTGAGGAAATGAATCCAGTTACAGGATGCTAGCAGAAGAGTAATATACTCACAGGTCTCTTCCTCCCATTTTCCCTGCCACAGTACAATAATGCATATGCTGAGATTACCAGAATTGTTTCTCTTTGTCAAAATACTATAGTTTTTTCTTTTTTCTCTTCCTTAAAGCAAATATATCATGGTCCACTTGTGGAAATATAGCATGAACAAAGAAAGGAAGGCACTTTTGTCCTCTGTGCACAAAGGCCTTTCCCTTCCTTTCCCTTCTCCAAAGGCAGAGAATAAGACCCAGAGAACAACACTAAAGCAAGCAGGTCTGCAACAAAATCCTGCAGGAAAGTGACTTTAAATTGGTAAATTCAATTACTTCATCCCTTTAATAAGCCAGACAGACTGTTTTGTCCTCCAGCCCGCGTACCTGCCATCAGCTCTTTGCAAAACCTCTCCCAGCCAACAAGTGTAAATCATGGGAAGGAGAGGGCAGCAGAGGCTATGAGCTCAGCCAGCTCCTGCTCAGGAACACGTGTCCCTCAGTGCGTATGCCCCAGACAGCCTATATTTACAGGTCCCAGGTGAGATGGCTGCTGCCTCTCCACTTGGGCACCATGATGCTGACCAAGACTTATTGGGAAACAACCATTGTGACAGCAGCTAAATGTAGCCCTTTCACACCATGCCCATCACTTGTGATTACATCAGCCTCTGCCGCTTCCACCTTGCTTCCTTTTATGCTTGCAGAAACCTGCACACCATTAAACCCACTGGCAGGAGTCTGCCTGCCTAACACCTAAAACCCACTTCTGGCTTCTCCCCAGTACTACACTGCATTTCCAGCTCTCTGAAGATGCGCAAGCCATCTCCTCACAAGCCTCTCTGACATTATTAAGAATCAAGAGTTTTTCCTTACAACTAATTTCCCTGGGGAAGCAAGTCAGAAACTGGTCAGGGCAACTGCATTTTTTCTCCAACTTTATTTCTAGTCTGTAACAGTTTAGTAAGAGAGTTCAAACAAGACTATCTGCTCACGTGAACACTTTTAAATTTGAAATTGGTCGACAACTTAAAAATGGCTTGTATTCTTAAAAGAATTTGTTCAAATACAGTGTTTTGAAACAGAAATGCAGTAAGGAGACCAGAAGGGGCACACACACAGCAGCATCGAGAAGACAGCCAGCCTTCACCAACCAGCAACGCTGCCACACTGAACATCCGCCTGGCCTATCAGCACAAAGCCCCAAGGGATCTCTAAGCAATTAGATGAGGCACTTTTACACCAATTCCATCATTTTTAACTATTTTGAATTATTCAAGGGACCAATTTACAGCACGCAATTGCTTTTTATTGCCATTTACTAACACCAGAAGCAACGTATTCTGAAAGACTCACTCTTGAGAAATGCCACATTTCACCACTTTTGCACTTGTTTCATCTTCCTTTCCCCTCTTTCAGGAGAAAACAGTGTTCTACACTTAAAAAGATGACTAATAGGTCTTTCTCTGCAACTGCAGAACCTCCTGCAGCACATGACTACAGATACATCTATACAGTACCTGTTTTGGAGGTAACAAGGATTAGGAAACCTATTTCAAACACCCTTGTGAGCTGACAAGATCAGCAAGGCAAATAGAGTCAGGCAAGATCACTTTCTTCCAAGCACTTGGAGTTTGCTTTGTTCAGTATAAATCAATACGTGTGCACTGATAAAGGGATGTTTATAAAGACTGGAGCACCCTCACCCCTACAGCCATCTGCAGCACTCTCCACCACATTAGTTTTTTGGTGAAGGAGGATTAGCATGGCTCCTTTCAGATGTAGTTCAAAAATTACTTGCCAAGGTAGCAGGAGGTCTCAGTGATATTAGTAAAGTACGACCTCTGGCTGCTCTTGTACACTTATGGAACATCTTGTCTTTGGTGGGAACTACAGCAAGAAGCAGCTCAAGACTCCAACACCCATTCTGAAGCCCAGAGCAACCTCACAAGCAAGTCTAACATGGGAAGGGAGATCAAGATTCCAGCTGGGGAACCATTTGGAGGAAAACTAGTCATTAGAAGTTAAACACTCCGATCTCTTCTTCTCCATCTATCACAAAGTTAAGAAAATGCATTTTCTTCAGCTTCGGGGGACGTGCATCTTTATAATCAACCCAAAATTAACAGTCCTCCTAAAGCAGAGGGAAATCATCTACAGAGATGGCTGTTAAAACCTCACAGCTATAACAATACACACATGATGTTTTTCCAGGCCGCATTAAAAACACCTTACCTTCTCCCTCTAAAGATTAATCAAGATTTTTCCACCTTCAGTTATATGAATCAATATGGCTATTATTCTGTCTCTGCATTCTAGCCAAGAAATCTCTCTCTCTGTTGGAACTAGAACATTTTTATCTGAAGGAAAGAATTGGGGTCAGAGAAAAGCTCACCCTGACAAGACTGCAGCCAGCAGCAGTATCTGATTTGGTATATGTGATCACAAATGTAGCAGGGAAGAATTTGACAACACAGCTGAACATAATGATCTCCCAGTACTGCAGTATTTTTTGAGAATGGAGTAGAAGCCCTATGGGAAGCAATTGTCCATGGAATACAGATGTCAGAGCCCTCATTACAATGAAGACAAAATGGAATATCATCATATTCCAGATTTTTTTTTTTATTTGAATTGCTCCTTTATTTCTGAAATGGAACACTAGTCTAACCAACTGAACAGTTCTGTTATAAATAATGTTAATCCAGTAACAGTTATTCACATGGAACTACTGTAATCAAGTCCACAGTATGAAGACTGAGCTACAGGAACTCACTACTGGAACTGGTGCTACCTGTAAACAGCTAACAGTCTTCTCTTATCACAAGGAAGAATCAGAATTACCTCTGACTGAAATAACACAGATGTGTCAGAATTAATCTTAGCGCACAAACCCACTAACACACAGGTTTGAGCTTTAAAGCAGACATGAAACCCCAGGAAAATTATTCTATTTTCAAACTCCAGCCAAAATCTAAAATACAACACTGCTTTCATGAGTGGGAAAGTGTCTTTCCTGCATAGCAGAAGTCCATCCTACTTGCGTTACTAGCAAAAGCTTGGGACAGGAGGCAGAAGCGGCAAAGCTGAGGGTTTTCCAAGTCCTACCTGTGTGCTGGGAAGCAGAAAACGGTAGCTGCAGCAGCCCAACAACTTGCCAAAAATGTTATTTCCCAACCAGAACTGCTTTGGCAGCATTGCCTGGCTTACTCTCGATGTGAGATGCCCGCATCCAGGACAGCTGCACAGCTGCCACCTCTGGGACCCAGGAGGCTGGTGGGAACAAAGACATCCCTACACCTGTGTATGCATACTGGGAGACTGAAGGGCTTGAAAGCTTAGAGTAATGATAAAATTAACGTGAACAAATATTCTTAGTAACTCATAGCAACCTCATTTCCTTTTCTTATAGAAAGCTGCATAGCAGTTGGTGTTGCTTTGCAGGATGAAAACACCACCAGGAAGATTACAGATTTCAATTTAGTGCCAAGCCCCACAAAAGGGCCATGATGCAGTCAAAGTCATTCCCAGAGCTAGTTGCTTTGCCATTCACTCTCTAAACAGGGAAAAATAAAGAAAAAACAACAGATTCAATCTATTCCACAAGAGGCTTCTCAGGGGCCATTCCTGCAACAGCACCGGGACTTTGTGTCACAGCCAGGAGCAGGGAGCAAGGAAATGAGAAATGTTGCTGGCTGGTGTGGCACTTGGGACAGAGCCCATAGGACACAGGAAAAGGAGCTGCACATCAGCTCTGAGAGCACCAGCAAGGGAACAACTACTTTGGCATGAGACTACATTATTTAAACCCCTTTCTTTGCAGAGTAAAGCCAGACACAGTGACAGTCCAATTATGGAAACACCACTAACTTATTCTGTTAATGTCCAGCTCTTTCCAGTACCTGTTAATCAAGCAGGCATTCGCATGCCTGCACAACAGGCCACGTTCCTTCTAAAAAGCTCCTTCTCCCCTTCCTCCAGCTGTCCTGCAAATCCAAAAGCAAAAACCTCATTGCTTAGGGAGGCGACATCTGCTTTCCTACAGCAATTGAAGGAAGGAGGTGCAATCCCACCTGTGTTCTTCTCACCTCTACTCTGCTTATAATTCTACCTCTGTACCAAATACAAAGAGCAGCTGAAACACCAGAAGCCACGTGCTCTCCCCCCCAAGGCCATTCAAGCTCTAATTGCCTTTAATAGAAGGCAGGCTTTCTGAAGCCAGCTATTTTATTAGCTTTTTTAAACTACATTTTCACAAAAACACAGCAACTGATGAGAACAGACAGTGCTAAAAGCGAGAAATCACTTGTAAATAGAATGTGGTGACAGACTTCGTTTCATGCGCAATATGCAAACAGCTCTCTGCAAGCAACATGCAGATGAAGGCTTCAGCCCTCTCCTCTCCTCCCTCCCCAAAAGCTGATACTCTGCCTGCATTTCAGGGAATCAAATCAAAGTGAGCTTCAGCTGCAGCTACAGAGATAAAGGAAATGGAATGAACAAAGACAGCTCTAGCAGAGTCCAGCAGCACTTTCAGAAAAGGGCAAGGAGACAGGTATAGGGAGTGCACAGTTTGGGCACAAGCCACCCCAGCACTCACTGGGCACCACCACCTCAAGGAGCACAGCAAGATGCAGCCCTCTGGTTCCTTAAGTTTCCAGTTTCCAAAAGTTAGCATCTTTCTAAGCTCAATAAACCAGACCAGATCATCAGTGATGTCTTCTTGTGACTTCTGAGTACAGCAGAGAAGCATCTCTTCCTCCCACCACAGACTCAACCTCATGGTTCCCTTCTAAGCTTGATATGCCATCTTCCTTCTTCAGAATTTTGCAACTTTTAGCTATATGCTGTGACTTGCATCTCCCTGTCATAGAAACACATCCTTAACATTAGTTATCTTGAACTCTCAGATTCAAGAAACATTCTCTTCCTTGTATTTTATTTAATTCCTAGAAGGAAAACAAAGCACTACTGGATTCCTGCAAGGTAATGTTTACAACCAGATGAGCAGAACAGGCAAGGTTGGCATAACAAGAGATTTCTATCTTTACAACAGATTAAGATTTAGTTTTATTTTCAAAAAGCAAATGCTTTAAAAATGAAAGCATGAGTCTTCCCGGGGGCAAACTGCCATTTAACAGCAGCTCTGGAGATGGTCCTCTATCTTCAAGAACCACTCAGCACAGTTCTTGAAGGACAAGTCAACACAAAAAGGAGCCTAAAAACCATGGAATGTTTTCTTTTTTCCTCCTAACAGAAGTTTCTACCTTGCCTGCCCCTCACATCGTTCTTCAAAGCAAAAACCACCCAGTTCTGTCTCCTCTTGTTAGTCTGATCCCCTAGTAATTGTGGACATGTTTAGCACCCTGAAAATAAAAGTGGAAAACCATCCTGCCTGCACAATGCTCTAACGCAAGGCCAGCTGCTAATCTAGTGCAAGGTGGTAGATTGGTTTAATTTCTTTGTTGTAAGAATAAAACCAAGCAAGAATTTGCATTTATGTCTGCTGTCTGTGGAAGCACACACAGTTTGTTTGGCACGGTGCATACTTGCTTTGCAGCTTGTTCACAACAACTGGTGCAGCCATAAAAAGACAAGGCGGTGCCTGCTAAGCCACATTCAGTAATGTGATACATAGGTTTGGGTCTGCCATCTGCAGAGACTCGAATTAAAAGCACTTGCTGTAAAAGTGAAAATAACTCAGATAATTTTGGCACAGTCTGGACTAATAGAAGAAAAGAACGGCAAAAATCTTGAGTCAGCTCTGAGACTCAAAGATGCAGATTAAAAATCCAAAGGAAAATCCTTGGCTCAAAGCAGCGTTACATATCCGTGTTTGTTTTTGCGACACGAAGGTCACATACAAGCTTGCCCTGCCAGGGCAGGGTGACAACAGGGCCTCGAGGCTTGTCCTGTCACATAGGCCCCAGACTGAGGCATTCAGCAGACCAAGGGCTGCCTCTTTCATGCAGCCATGTCACAGCATGCAAGAGCACAGGAAAAAACACAGCACTTATTGCCTTCTACAGAATGCCAGCAACTTACCTGACTGACTCTGAGAATAGCACAAGGCAGGCAGCAGTGGGGATTTATCAAATAAAATGCTAAGTGCCAGGATTTTGGTTTTAATAACTTTGTCATACGGAAGAAAAGTTTGGCCCTATAATGGTGTATTGTATATAAACATTTTTGAAAGTCTGGAAATAAACTGTCTCCATTCACTTGGAAAGCAGCATTGTTATCTTCCAACAGGACTGAAAGACAACAAGGAATTGGTTAACTTCTTTCCTGGTGACATGGCATCTCCTGAGGTGCATCACAAAGATGGCCCTGTGCTTGCTTTCCCCATGAGCAGAGGCTAAAAATGCCATTCAACATCACCAGATTCTTCAGCTTCACTCTTCTTTGCTAGCAAAATAAACATAAGTCCCAGCACTCAGAGAAGTGGTTTTGCTGGGACAGATCAGCAGATCACAGAAATACCCCAAATGTAAGTCAAGCAGTGAGAGAAGACAGAAGGTATCTAATGATGTTTGTTGAAATGTAAACTGCCTAACTTCTCATCAGATTACATCAGCACAAGTGTGACCTTACCAAATACAGCTGAAGAAGAGTGTTTGGATGAACTGTACAAACAACAGTATCATATAGTTAGCAGAGCTCAAGAACATCTGTCCATTTACAGTTTTGAACAGCAGGTCAAAGGACCTGTTCCATAAAAAGCCACATTCTTAATTAAGAAATACTACTCTGGAAGTCATCGATCTGCTCATCTTTCTGAACTACTGGAGCTAAATCTGAGAGAGATGAAGCAATGGCAATTGTTGACCCCACTCATGTTTCAAGCAATCAACAACCCCTTTTAGGGAAATGTATGCAGAGCACAAGGGAAAATTTATTGATGGTAAAACTCCAAAACTTAAACAAAAGCAGTAATTGCAAGGAAAAAAACTGTACTTACTGGAAAGGACTGTTGTGAGGAAAATGTAGTCTGAAAAAGAAATGAGTCCACATTCCCCAAGTGCATAAAAGATGCTGTCTTCATCAGCAAACTTTTCTCGCTCCTGAGACAACTTCTGTTAGTTCATCCGACCCCAGTCCCAAAAAGAGAAAATAAAGCAATCAATTAAATATAGAACCAGAAGGCTTTGTGTCCTTACCACCAAGCCATTCACGTACACACACCCCTACTGTCACCATTCATATTCAGCGGACCTTTTCCAGCCTTCAAATCTGTCAGAATTGGTCTGCAAAGGTCAGTGCTTCCTTATCTCAAATCAGGGATAAGGAATTGCACAACAGTTGGTTAAGACTAACTGAAATACAGATAAACTAGGTCAATTTTGCTTAACGTTGCCTGAATCTATGAGAGAATACAGCACTATATAAATCAGATCTTTGAGAATATAGGATTTCCAAAGGAAATTATCAGATTTCATTAATAGCATTTTCCTTTTAGTTGTACTCTGTAGTAGTAGTAGCCAAGGAAGATCTATTTCACACAAATGTGGAGTATGATCAAAGTTACCATAAGCCTGTAGCAAACAGAAGCACGCAGTTCAGGAGTGAGTTTAGCAAGCTCACTGAAAAGGACCAGGACTGAGACCATACTCTGACTTTCTCGTTCCACTTCTTTTCCAACATGAAGTTTTAATAGAAACTATCACGTGTTTTATCACCTGTTCTCCTTTACTAAGCTAAAAATCCAAGCCACTTTGATCCGCTGAAGCTTCAAAGACTGAAAAGGATCCATAAAACTGTTAAGAGCTGCATACTGAATTCCACACTGGTGACCCATTTTAAGAACATAGCAGGAAAAGGCACGCACACACACAGAGGAAAACAAAATTAATGTAAAGAACAACAGGCGTGGATGGGGTTATTTCATAAAAATCAGTTCATGCAAGCACAGAAGCGTGGTAAAGGCAGGCTGAATTTAGGATCAGCTTTAAGAAAACCACCAGCAAACACCACCACACGAGGGCCCAGCTCCACAGCTGTCCCCCACTGTTACCTCTGTCTAGCGGAGATCCCATCATATACAAGATAAAGGAAAGAAAACTGGTTAACCAACAATACAACAAGCAGACAAAACATAACATCAAGTTGAACAGTTAGACTTGCAAGGAGCAAGAAGGTGTTGAAGCAACCAGGTGGTTGCTTGGACTGAGGGCTGCTACAAAGCCTGGGGCCACATCCCAGCAGGGTTAGCACCTCACCCCTGGGGTCAGAGCCACGGGCTGTAGGCTGGCGTCTCTCATCCAGCCCAGTTTTTGAGAGAACTCACCATTGCAGGTGGCAGCAGATTGGGGATGAGTTCAGCTAATAATTTAGATGAAAATTTAACCCGTATCTGGCTTGGAAATCACAAGAAAAGAGAAAAATACACTTTTCAGGAAAAACATTCAGCTCTGTTGATCAAGAACAACTCTTTACAGCAGCTCTTCCTTTATTCTCAGGAGTGCAACAGGAATTTAACAAGAGGTGCATCTCTCACAGCAGACAACATTAACAGCATTCATTTCACGCAAAGTAACTGATTTATGCTTACAGGACATCAGGTTGAAGCATCATTTACTAAAATGCTTTTGCCTCCCCTTCCCATCAAGGCAGCTCCCACACAAAGCAGCCTTCAAGCCAACACACTAAGGACAACACCCAGCTTTCCTTAAAACTGAAGGAAAGATCAAGGAGGAAATTAGTTTCCTGGTACTGCTCCCTGATGGTGCCATCAGTTGTGTCTCACCTGCTCACGTGATTCATTGCCTGAACACCTTTCACCAGCATTTACCACAGACTAGCTGCTAGCATTCACCTGCTTCGTTTGCTCTAGGGACCCCATGAGGGAAGTCCAGAAGTTGATTTATTAATTTCCAAGGGCTCCACTTCTGTGCTTAAAATTCACAGCTAGCAAACTACTCAAACAAGTCTCCATAAACTTAAAAACCAGATCCATAAAATAACAATAAAATGGATATTAAGTCTGCTGCTCTCTGAAATATAAAGGTTCAGACAGATAGGAGGGATTTATTCATTTGCATCTATCTTTAAATCAATAAAAAAGGCTTAAAAATTTCTTTTTTAATATTTACTTATTTTTTTCTTTCTGGCTTTACTGCTTTCCATGGAGCAGGGTAGAAGCCCTTCCCACTACAGGAAAGGCTAAGAGCATCTTTTTCTCCTCTTTACAGATCACATTCTCAAGATTTATATTTCTTCATATAAAAAAACAATCAGTCAACCCTTTGCTCAGTAACAAGCGGATTTAGGCTTAGCTGCCCTTCTGTTGTCAGCTCACACACCCTGAGTGTTGCAGGTGCTCCCCTAACCAGAAACCCATCACAGAACAACAGCAAGGGTTGGGATGCGTCAGCTCACGTCAGTTTAACGCTATTTGGGAAGAGAAGACGATCTCCAATTGGCATTCTGTGACACGTGTAGGGCAAAAGCAGACCAGTAAGCACACCAGCTGAAAACCTCCAGCACCAAGCCCATACTGTTGGCTGGACCCAAAGGAAGTAAGCTTTCACAGACAGATGATGGTTAATTAACAGAGGAAAATGTTATTCCAAAAAGAGGCAAATACTCAGCAGGTGGATTTTACTTATACATACACAAAAAATACATGTCACATATGAGCTAAGGCTTCCCAGCTAGGCAGCACATCAGCCTGCCTGCACTACCAGGCCTGCTGTGGGGGGCACAACTCCCAGCACAAAGTAAATTTTCAGAGTGCTCAGTTACAAGTCGGACATCTTCAGTGTAACATTTTTCTCTATCTTAATTCCATTCCCCAAAGCAGAACAATACATTAAAAACACTCAGTGCTCCCTCAAGCGCATCCCGAGCTGAGCATGTGCAATTGAACAGGGCAAGGCAAAGGGTTTACTACAAGGCAGTAAACTTGTAGCAAACACACACACACACACACACACACACACACACACACACACACACACACACACACCCCCATTAACAGCTGCAAAAAAAAGCAAGCCAAATACTCAATTGACTTCAGCCCAAGTACAACTGGGCAAGGTGAGTGACAAACCACCACCAGTCATGGTGGAATAACTCTGTACACACAGGTAAATTATCTTATGGTATCACTAAACATGAACAGCAGGTAAAAAAAATAGTAGCTTTTCAAAATGCCAAGCTTGGTGCGCACCTTCCAACTCAGACACAAAGCAGCAAGCAGCAGCTCAAAGACAAGCACCTCTCATGACATGACTGGTGTTTTCCCTGCATGTTACACCACACAGGTTAAGTGCTCATCTCAGTGGTACCTACTGAGGGTAGCAAACAGCCCCCCCAGGTGACTGTGAATGAAGTGGAACGCCACACGCCTGCAGCTCCCCAGCCCGTGTGATGCACAGAGACTGCAAGCAAGTAAAGCACCCAGAAATGTAGCAAAATTTCACGTTTTGCCCCAGAACTGATGAACTACAGGAGCATCCCTCAAGCCAAATGCACAGTGCAGCTCCTAAGCACAGGCAAACATACATGAGCTGAATCAAAGCTTCAAGGTACGAAAGATTTGGAAAACCCGCTTGTTCCTTCCTTTCCTTGCTGAACATCACCCTTACTTCGAGTGACAAAGTGGTTTTCCCAGGGATGAACGAGGAGTGAAAGGTGCCAGGGAGATGCAGGAGCAGCGACCCAACCCTACCGCACAGAGCTGGGATCACTGGCATAAATTCATGGTTAATAGATCAAATGACACGCTCAGTCAGTTTAATACTGAATTAAGCAAATCTAGAGAAGGATGCAGTTCTGCAAATTAACTGCCATCTCTGGTTTTGGTCTGCGCTCCTGACAAGAAAGCTGTATCAGCAAAATCCTTGCAGACCCACTTTGTTCTGCATTTCAGAACTCCCTAAGGAGCAGCACTTGACTTGCCACTTTGGGAAGAACACACACTTGGTAAGTCACTTCAAGATGACAGTGCATGCTCCAGTCCAGAGAAGAAAACATGCATTCAGCACCATTGTTCACATAATACCTTTGTGTTCTAATATCACCCTTGTACTTTCTGCAGCCAACCTTCAGGAAGTCATCAGCCCCCTACCCTCACCCACCAGTGATTGTCTTCCAGAACCAACAAAACATGACAGTACATGCAAGATGAGCATATCTCCAGAATCAGAAAGTAATTCTGTGAGTTTTGTGAAAGGAATTTTAGGTGAGCCATAACCATCTCTTATTGATATCATACAGAGATCATTCCTTTTTAAAAGAAACAAAGTTACCAGCATTACTTGAGAAATACAAAATTGTGAACATTTCAAATAGTGACAGCAGCTTTCTGCAAAGCATTCTGTTCCAGTCCCAACTGACCACCCTCAGTTATGCTAACCATTAAGAAACAGCCATTCGTACACTTCTCTGACAGTTAACAATAGACAGAGGAAAAGTTTAGAAATGCAGAAATATTTTTGTTTCACAGTAGGGGTTGCTGAAAATCTGTGCTATAAGTTTTCCCAATACATACATTTAAAATCTTTTTGATTAGGTCTGTTCTGAGTTTTCCAGCTTCATAAAGTGAAGGTGACCTGTATTACTGCAGTTTGGGAATATGCATCTCAAAAATGAAGACACATCTAAAAGAGCACGTGACCAAGATGGATTTTATAGAAAGCAACCCCCTGTAATCTCATGTCAATTTCTACCCTATTTTTATCTGCCTTATAAACTCTTGCTAACCCTAAGCCATGGTCAAAATGGTAAAGCTTGGGAATTTTTTGGGGGGGAGGGCGGAGCTGATGGGGAACCCCATTACTATTTGTGAGCACCACATTAAGCAGTACATATTAAGATTATGCACTATTAGTCCTTCTGGCATCCAGCTTGACCCATGGAGGTTTAATTCAGCAGACAGCATCCCTGCAAATAAAAGCCTATTAGGAGCCCTCCACCGCTGCTGGAAGAACAAATCTTCCCATCACATTTATTGGACAGCACTTTTAATGAATGCATTGTAAATGGTCTTTAGCACCTACCACTGGAGTTGTTTGACATCTTTAAAAGCACTGCTTGGCCCCAGGCAGCATACTGAGGCACCACGTGTAAACACACAGCGAGGAGGCTCAGCTTGCCTTCTCAAAGCCTGCAAGGCATTGGCAGCCCCTTCCACCTGGGATATGGCTGTGCAGGTGCTTGCTGCAGCACCGCCGTTAGTCCGTTGCAAAAGCAAGAGAAGGAAAAGCTTTAAAGAAATGCCAATGCAAGCTGCAGGCAATTTCACTTCAGTCACTAACAATACTAAACTCTGCCTGCATCCAAACGCTTAGCTAGCTTCTGAAATGAAGGGGACTTATTTTCACTCGTTTTCCTGAAGATGGGAACTTTAGAGAATGAAAGCCATTAATTTAGAAATTTTATGATACAACCCATGCTGGCACCTCATGCCTACAATAAGAAAAGGGAAAGAAATAGAAAGGAAAAGGCTTTCAGAAGCAGACAAACAGAGAGCCTTTCAGCCTCTATGTTCCAAAACCCTGTGGGGAGAATGGCAGGGCAGGTCCCTGTGCAAGGAAATAAGGACAAAAAAGAATGTGAGGGGCAACAGAGCATTTCAAGGCATTTATTTAAAGCTAGCTTTAGAATGGAGATGTGAAGTCATTTCAGATACAGTACTTGGGACTTCATATTAATAAAATAACAAAAAAAAAGGTGTTTAGGTTGTGACAGAAGTCATTACAGCCCACGAAAGTAACTCAGTAATAATAATAAACCAGCAGAGAAGTTTATGGTATCATCACTAGTGGCTCCAGATGATTTATTATGAATTCTACGTATTAACATGGGTAAATGCAAACAGAGTCTGCATGGTAAATCAGGGTGGTGTCAGAGCATAGGACAATTTATGACTGCCTGATAAATACTGCAGCTTATGACCTTTTATGAGCACATTTTAATAAAGAGCTTTTAAATTCTCTACTTGTGGGGTTATTTATCTGCCTGCATACACAGGGGACACAAATACACAGCAGGACATTGATGAGGTTCTGCATCTCT